CAACAGGGCAATACTGGGCTCAATATGAGTTGGGAAGTTTTCCATCCTCTTCTGATTTTGGAAGAGTTCATTAAGAATTATTACTATTTCTTTAAATGTTGTGTAGACTTCATGAGTGAAGACATCTGGGCTTGGGCTTTTCTTCATGGATAATTCTAGGAATTTTAATTGTTGATTTTTATTTTTATTTCATTGTGTCAGAGAATGTGATTTATATATTTAATTCTTGAATTTGTTGACTCTTCCTTCATGATCTCTAAAAGTTTTGCCTCTCGACTATTCTATTTATTTTTATTTCTGGAATTCCAATTAAACATATTTATTAGGCTCTTTAACTTATCATCCATATCTGTTAACTTGTCTTTCATATATCCAAATCTTTAAATATGTTGTGATTTAGGTACCGTTGTCCAAGTTACCAAATCTCTCTTCAGGTATGTTATGTCTGCTATATACTTGTCTAGTCATTTTATTTATTTTTTAACCTTAGAGACTTTCTTTTTTTCTATTTCAGTGACTGTACTTTCCATCTCCAGTATTTTCAATTGAATCTTTCTTTTTAGAATCTCTATTTGTTCTTTGGTCATATTCACCAGTTTTTGTTTTATAATTTCCTATTCTTTTTTTTTTTTTTTTTTGAGAAAGATTGCCCTGAGCTAACTACTACCAATCCTCCTCTTTTTGCTGAGGAAGACTGGCCCTGAGCTAACATACATGTCCATCTTCCTCTACTTTGTACGTGAGATGCCTGCCACAGCATGGCTTTTTGCCAAATGGTGCCATGTCCAGACCCGGGATCTGAATGGGCAAACCCTGGGCCACTGAGAAGCGGAACATGCGAACTTAACTGCTGCAACACCAGGGCGGCCCCTATAATTTCCTATTCTTAATTTGTTCCTTTCTTTAACATTTTGAGGATGTATATTTTTAAATTTTGTTTTTAAATTTTCATAATAAATATGAAAACTTGTAGGTACCTATAACCTTCATTAAAATAGGTATTATTGCTATTTTATCTCTATAGTGGGTATAAAATTCTATGTCAGTGTTATGGTTGCATTTTCCTTAGTACTAGTATCTCTGAGCATCTTTCTCTATGTGTTTATTGTCTCTTTTGAGATTTTCTATTCATATATTTTGCCTTTTTTCTAAGTTATTGTGTTTTTGTCAATTTCTAAGCACATTGAATATCTTACTATGAGTGTAGATCAGTGGTTTTCAAATTATGGTCTGTGGACCCCTGAGAGTCCTTGAAACCCTTTCAAGGGGTCAGTAAGGTGAAATATATTTATATTTTTAAATTAATTATTGTTTTTCTTTTTGGTGAGGGAGATTCACCCTGAGGTAACATCCATTGCCAATCTTCCTCTTATTTTTTCTTTGAGGATAATTAGCCCTGAGCTAACATCTGTGTGAATCCTCTGCTACTTTGTATGTAGGATGCCTCCACAGCTTGGCTGATGAGTGAAGTGGGTCTGCACTCAGGATCTGAACCTGTCAACCTGAGCCCCCAAAGCGGAGTGGAAGGAACTTGAACCACTTGGCCATGGGGTCAGCCCCTGAAAAGTATTTTTATAATTATACTAGGATATTATTTACCATTTTCACTGTGTTGACATTTACAGTTAAAGTGGGTAAACTACTATGAAACAGTCCCCCACAATTATCTGAAAAGGCTCTTATAAAATGCTTTCCAATATCCACATATCTGTGTGAGGCAATAAACCAACCACATTCCATTTGATTGAACGCATACACAAGTAGAAGAATTCCAGCTGACTTCTATTCAGCCAGACATTATAGAGATTTTCAAAATATAACACGGTACTACTCTTTTCACTGATTCCTTTTGTAAAGAGATTTATTATATCCCAAAGATTTTTTTATGTTACTGTTTAATAGGTTTTTATTATTTTAAAATGAATTAATAAACATTTAAAAAGTTTTTTCCCTTTAGTTTCTAGTACTCTAAATATTAATAGATATAACTCACATCAAAGTTATTTGGTAGTCCTCAGTAATTTTTAAGAATGTTAAGGGATACTGAGACCAAAATTTTTGAGAACAGCTGCTGTAGATCTTTGTCATTTTTTTATCATTCACATTTTTCTGGAGTTGCACATGTCTTGTTTCCTTTAAAGCGTCTGATTTTCATCTGAGGGTTTTAGTTTGTAAGCTGTTGCAGGGATTTGCTACAAGGACTTGGGCAACTCAGCATAGAGTTGTACTCATAGCTAAGGTGAAGGATACATGGTAGGAGCGGCAAGGCAAACAGCATGGCAGAGTCTGGAGAAATCCATGTATAGGCCTCCTGTGCTCTCTCCTTCCTGTGTGAGGTCGCATTGAGCCTGCTCCCTTCTTCAGCAGTGAAAATCTAGTAACCCCTGTACCCTTACTGCCCAGAGAGCTGCTAGAGACTCAGCATCCAAATGTTGGTTGGGAGCTAGTTATGTAGGCTCGCTCTGCCTGATAACTACAAAACTTCCAGACTCCAGAAGGTGCAGGGTTCATTTCCTCAGTAAACAGTTTTATCTCACAGGGAAAGGTGCCTGTCAGTGTAGGAAACTACCAGTCAAGGGCCAATCCTGCAAGCAGCCTCCAGCCTGCTGTGTTAACTCTTTATACACATAAACTGACCCTGAATTACTGTATATGTTAATGTGTACTTTTCCCAGAGATTAGAAGCTCTCTTCAAAAGAGGATTTTTTTTTTTTTTGAGGAAAATTCGCCCTGAGCTAACATCTGCTGCCAATCCTCCTCTTTTTGCTGAGGAAAATTGGCCTTGAGTTAACATTTGTGCCCATCTTCCTCTATTTTTTATATGTGGGACACCTGCCATAGCATGGCTTGGTGAGCGGTGTGTAGGTCAGCACCAGAGATCTGAACCGGTGAACCCGGGGCTGCCGAAGCAGAGCACCCAAACGTAACCGCTGTACCACCAGGCTGGCCCCAGAAGAGGATACTTTTGATGTAGTTTTTGAGGGCATTTTGGGGATATTTTGGCTTGTATTCAGAATTCTTTTTATCAAAGGCAATAGCTTGATATATCCCAGATTTCTGGAAAGAAAAAGAGTTCTTTTTTATCCCGTGGACAGAGGAGTGCTTACTCTGTCCTCAGTCATACTGTGAGCCTCATTCCAGCTTCCAACACTGACCAGGTTCACTCTTCTATGTGGTGCTTGGATATATCACATCACACATCTTTGATATGATCAATCATGATATAATCAATATATAAAGCAATATATACATTTATTTATCATATGCCAATAGATGTTTCAGTAAAAGCATGATAGGTTTTTAAAATTTGTGTCTCAATGTGACATTTATTTTCAGTATTCTTATTCACTATTGCATGGGATTTTTTGGTATAGCGACACTAAGCTTACAGAACATTTTCCTTGTTTGTCCCTTTATTATCTTCTTTTCTGTCCTCTTCTTCTGAAACTGCTCCAGTCTGATAGTGGCTATCTGGGATCTCTCTTATCTTGTACTTTGCTCTTGTAATTTTGCTCTATGGTATGTGAGAATTACATTACTTGGTCTCCAAATATATAATTAGATTTTTAACCTTTTAAAAATTTCTTCAATTAATTTTTTAAATATTATTATCTTAGTAATTTTTTAATTCTTCAAAAACATTTGTATATTTACCAATCATTCCTCTTCTGCAACAGCTTTATAGTAGTTTTATGGATGTATTTTCTGCTAACTTTTTAAAAACTTACTTAATTCTTCCTATGTTAATTTTCTTTTAGGCTCTTTTCCCTTGCTTTTTCATTTGCTTGTCTTTAAGGCTCTTAGGTTTCCCCAAAGTTGGGGTGGAAGAGTCTGCAGTTTTCATTCATATTTGTAAATGAAATTGATAGTTTTCTTAGCAATTAGAAGCTGTCTGATCTCTCCCTTAAATAGAGGGACTGACAGTAGCCCAGTATGTGCACTTAATTTGGGTTTAAACGAGTAGGTAGAAAAGTGGACAGTTGCTGCTCTCACTTTAGTTCAAATGGGGAACATTTCCTCAGCGTGTGTGCCAGAAACAGGCAGGGAGGGCCCCTTGATTAATGGAAGTAGCAGTAGACCTACCTGTCTTAGAAGGTGAACTTTTCTGATTTCTGGTATTATTGTGGATTTCTTTTTTTTTGTTTTTTATTTTTAATCTTGTTTTTTTTTTTGTTTTTGGAGGAAGATTAGCCCTGAACTAACATCTGCCAATCCTCCTCTTTTTGTTGAGGAAGACTGGCCCTGCACTGACATCCATGTCCATCTTCCTCTACTTTATATGTGTCACGCCTACCACAGCATGGCTTGACAAGCGGTGCCATGTCCGCACCTGGGATCCGAACCAGTGAACCCCTCGCCGCTGAAGCGGAACGTGCGCACTTAACTGCTGCACTACTGGTCCAGCCCCTATTGTGGATTTCTTATCATTTTTATATTTTGTGTTATTTTTGTGAGATTTTGAAATAGGTAAGAAAAAACTGTTCTCAATTCTAGATGTTGTAATGAAACTCAGTAGAACTCGCAGATTTGTTAGAAATATACTTTGTTTGGTGTCTTGTTGGTAATAATATGACTAATTTCTTCTAAGATGAATATCTGAACTTAGAGAATTTTCATTCCTGAGTTTGAGGCAGCATAATATAGCCGTTAAGGACACAGGGTCTGGGCCAGGCTTCTTGGTTAGAATCTTACTTTTGATAACATAGGCAGGCATTGGACTAGTGACATAATGCCTCTATCCCTCAATTTCCTCATGATGGATGTAAAAATAATACAAATTTTAAATGATGTTAGGAGATTTAAATTAATTACTATTTGTGAAGTGCCTATACCAGAATTTGTCACTTAGTAACTGCTACATGTTTGTTAAATTAAAAATATATATATATATGTATTTACCTATATATATGTATCCGAATAATGATTTCTCTTGAGTAGTTGCAGTATATTTGAATGGCTTAAATAATTGTTTTTATGTTATTCTGTTTAATTTTTTACAGCTTATCGTGAGCCTCGATATTTTTATGAGTTTACAGCTCGTTATCATGCAGCTCCCTGCAATAGTATCTATAATATTTCTTTTGAGAAGAAACTTCTTCAGATTTTAAGCAAATTGGTTCTTGACCTTTCGTGTGAAGTTTCCTTACTTAAGTCTGAATGCCATCGTGTTAAAATGCAAAAAGCTGGTTTGCAAAATGAATTGTTCTTTACATTTTCTGGTAAGTATATACAGTTCCTTAAGGGAAATAAATTGAGAACACAAAGCTTATTTTAAAGACATGTTGTGAATTACCAGCAGCATTTTTGGAATGTAAATGTTATAAACCTGAATGTTTTGTGTTCTCTACTCAGTTATTATAGCCCCCAAAAGAAAATTTTACTGAATCATGTGCTTAATGAAAAGTTTGCACTTTAAAATAACTTAAACCGTGCTATGATAATTTACTATAGAATTGAATTTAGTTTAAGGAATGTCTATTATGTTATTTACTTGCAAAGATTTAATTGTGAAAGTATCTAGTTATAATAAGATGGTTTAATATTATAGACCAGAGGGACCATTCTAACAAGTTAGGGTGATTTTTCTAATAATACAGAGTTGAGGCCCAATATTTTCTGGAAAACAAAGAATTGGACATCATATCTAAGGACTTTAGATTTATAAAGGGCCTGTATGAATGAGCACTTAGGAATAACCATCCATGTGTTTTTAATAGGTCCCAGTGGTAATAGGACCCCCTCTTTCTTTTCTCTCAAATGATATTGCCTGCTGTTTTCCTTTCTTTACTCTTTGTCCTTAATTCCTCCGCTATCAGTGTTTGATTGTACTTACTCAATTCTCTGATTTTCCTTGTCTTTTTTATGGCCATCTAAGATTGAATTTTTAGACATGAGTGAGAGGTGTGAAGCTTTAAGGGATAAGAACAAGAGAAGTTCAACCCGATTTTCACTATCTTTTATCTTCCTTACTACTTTTCTCTTCTCCAGAAAATCTTTGAGAGTTATTTTCTAGCCCGTGAGACAAATTTTCACAGAGAGTAACTCTTTCTTTAGCTCTTCAAGGACTCACCATTAGCATTCATAAGGCTTATGGGGTCTTTGTACCCAGTGTGTTTAATAGGTGCTATTAATAGGCATTCATATTCTTTAGAAAATCTGAAAGTGTACTTGAACTCGTAAGAGAAAAGAGATGATATTCAATAGAAATGAGGCATTGTGGGCTTGATTTGCATTTCTCTAGTGATTAGTGATATTGAGTATCTTTTCATGGCTTATTTGCTGTTTGTATATTTTTTTTGGAGAAAAGTCTATTCAATTTTTGCCGGATTTTTATTTTTTTCCAAATTTTATTGAGATAGTTGACATAGAACATTATGTAAGTGTAAGGTGTAAAACGCAGAGATTTGTATATGTATATGTTGCAAAATGTTTACCACAATGAGCGTTAACAAATTTTATCATCTCATATAGTTACAGTTTATTATTATTCTTTTTGTGGTGAGAACTTTTAAAAGCTACTCTTTTAGCAACTTTCAAATATACAATATAATATTTTTGACTATACTCACCAGGCTGTGCATTCCATCCCTGAACTTATTCATCTTATGACTGGAGGTTTATACCCTTTGTCCACTTACATCCATTTCCCCACCTCCTGCCCCTGGTAACCACCAGTCTGTTCTGTTTCTATGAGTTCCGTGTTTGTAGAGGCCACATATAAGTGAGATCATAGAGTATTTGTCTTTCTCTGTCTGACTTATTTCACCTAGAAAAATACCCTCAAGTTTCATCCACATCGTTGCAAATGGCAGAATTTCCTTTGCTTTTGTGTCTGAATAATATCCCATTGTATGTATATGCCACGTTTTCTTTATCCATTCTTCTGTCAGTGGACACTTAGATTGTTTCTATGCCTTTGCTCTTATAAATAATGCTGCAGTGAACGTGGGGGTGTAGATATCTTTATGAAATAGTGATTTAATTTTCTTTGGATCCATATCCAGAAGTATAATTGCTGGATCATGTGATAGTTCTATTTTTTTTTTTTTTTTTAGGAAACTTTCTACTGTTTTCCAAGTAGCTGTACCAACTTATATTCCCAACAACAGTGCACAAGGGTTGCATTTTCTCCACATCCTCACCAGCACTTGTTATCTCTTGTCATTTTCATAATGGTCATTTAAACAGGTGTGAGGTGATATCTCATGGTTTTTATTTTCATTTCCCTGATGATTAGTGATGGTCAGCACCATTTCATATACCTGTTGGCCATTTGAATATCTTCTTAGGAAAACATATCTATTTGGGTACTTTCCATTTTTAATTGGATTATTTGTTTTTTGCTTTTAACTTGTATAAGTTCTTTAAATATTTGGATGTTAACACCTCATCAAACATGTGGTTTGCAAAAATATTTTATGCCATTCTATAGGTTGCCTTTTCAGTTTGTTGATTATTTCTTTTCTGTGAAGAAGCTTTTTAGTTTGATGTAGTCCCTTACTTCCTTGTGTTTTCATTGCTTGTGCTTTGGGTGTCATATTTATAAAGTCATTGCCAAGACGACCCTATGTTTTCTTCTAGGGGTTTTATGGTTTAGGTCTTAACATTTAAGTCATTAATAAATTTTAAGTTAATTTCTATTAGGGGTGTAAGATATGGGTCCTGTTTTATTCTTTTGCCTACAAATATCCAGCTTTCCCAATACCATTTTTGTAGATTACCATACTATTTTGATCACTATACCTTTGAATATACTTTGAAGTTAGAAGTGTAATGCCTCCAGCTTTTTTCTTTCTCTGTTCTGCATTGGCTCCTCAGGGTCTTTTGTGGTTCCATATGAATTTTAGGATTTTTTCCTATTTCTGTGTAAAATGCCATTGGAATCTTGATAGGGATTGAATTGAGTCCGTATATTGCTTTGGGTTATGTGGACATTTTAACGATATTGATTCTTTCAGTCCATGAACCTGAGATATCTTTCCATTTATTTGTGTCGTCTTCAGTGTACAAATCTTTTACCTCCTTGTTTAAATTTATTCCTAAGTATTTTATTGATTTTTATGGTATTATAAATGGGATTGTTTTCTTTATTTCTTTTCAGATAATTTGTTGTTACTGTATAGAAATGCAGCTGACTTTTGTATGTTTATTTTGTATCCTGCAACATTACCGAATTTGTTTACTTGGTCTAGCAGATTTACAATGGAGTCTTTCCTAAAGTCTTTCTCTGTATAAGATCACTTCTGCTGCTGCCAGAGACAACTTTACTTCTTCCTTTTTGATTCAGATGTCTTTTATTTCTTTTTCTTGCCTGATGGTTCCAGCTAGCACTTCCAGTACTATGTTATATAATGGTAGATGTGGGCTCCCTTGTTTTATTCCTGATTTTAGGAGGAAAAAGCTTTCAACCTTTCACCATTATGATATTATCTGTGAGCTTGTCATATGTAGCCTTTATTATGTTGAGGTACGTTCTCCCTATAGCCAATTTTTTGAGAGTTTGTTTTGTGAATAGATATTGAATTTTGTCAGATACTTTTTTGGATCTGTTCAGATGGTCAAGTGATTTTAACTTTCATTCTATTAGTATGATGTATCTCATATTTGTTGATTTGCATGTTGAACCATCTTTTTATCCTGGGGATGAATCCCACTTGATCATGGTATTTGATGCTTTTAAAGTGCTGTTGAATTTGGTTTACTAGTATTTTGTTGAGAATTGTTCCATCTATATTCATAATGGATATTGGCCTGCAGTTTCTTTTTCTTGTAGTATCCTTGTCTGGCTTTGGCATCAGGGTAATACCAGCCTTATAAAATGAGTTTGGGCATTTTACCACTTCCTCAATTTTTTTGAAAAGTTTGAGAAGGATTGACATTAATTTTTAAATGTTTAGTAGAATTTACCATTGAAGTCATCTGGTTCTGGGATTTTCTTTTTTGGGAGGTTTTTGATTATTGATTCAATCTCCTTATTCGTTATTGAACTGCTCAGATTTTCTGTTTCTTCATGATTAAGCCTTGGTAGGTTGTATGGTTCTAGGAATTTATACATTTCTTCTAGGTTGTCCAATTTTTGGTATATAGTTATTCATAGTTGTCTCATGATCCTTTGTATTTCTGTGGTATCATTTGTAATGTCTCTTCTTTCGTTTATAATTTTATTTATTTGGATCCTCTCTCTTTTTTCTTGGTTAGTATAGCTAAAGGTTGTCAATTTTGTTCATATTTTTGAAGAACCAACTCTTGGTTTCGTTAATAATTTATGTTTTTTTCCTACTATTTCATTTATTTCTGCTCTAATCTTTATTATTTCCTTTCTTCTGTGAATGTTGGGATTAGTATGTTTTTCTTTTTTCTAGTTCTTTGAGGTGTAACGTTGGATTGTTTATTTGGGATCTTTTTTCTTGATGTATACCCCTTTATTTTCTTCCAAGGATTTGAAGTTTTATCTCCTACATGTAGGTCTATGGTCCATTTTGAGTTAATTTTTATATATACTGTGAAATAGGGTCCAACCTCATACTTTTGAATGTGGAGTTGTCCCAGCACCATTTTTTGAAGGGATTCTTCTCTCCCCATGGAGTTTTCATGGCACCCATTTTGAAAATCAGTTAGCCACACACATATGGGTTTACTTCTGAACTCTTAAAACCATTTCATTGATCTGTATGCCTTTCCTTATGGCAGCACCACACTGTTTTGATTATAACCTTTTCATAGTAGCAGTGTAGTCAGATTTGAAATTAGGAAATGGGGGTCTTCCAGTTTTGTTCTTCCTTTTCAACATTGTTTTGGCTTGCAATTCCATATGGTTTTTAGCATCTGCTTTTCCATTTCTACCAAACAAGGCCATTGGGGTTTTGATAGGGATTGCATTAAATCTGTAGATATGTTTGGATAATATTACCACCTTAACAATATTGTCTTGCAATCCATGAACACAAGATATCTTTGCCTTTGTTTAGGACTTTGTCATAGTCTGTTGGTCTGCTGTAACAAAGTTCTACAGACTGGGTAGCTTATAAACAATGGAAATTTATTTCTCGTATTTTTGGAAGCAGGAATTCTGAAATCAGGATGCCAGCATGTTTACTGAGGGCCCTCTTCAGGACTGCAGATTTCTCATTATATCCCCACATAGCAGAAGGAGCTAAGGATCTTTCTGAAGTCTCTTTTGTAAGATCTCTAATCTCATTCATGAAGGCTCCATTCTCAT